CCTATGAATGAGAGAGTGTGGTTGGAGGGTTTGGATAGGCCGACTCTAAGTGCAGAGAAGAGAGAGTGGTTAGAAAAAAGGTTTGATATGGAGGAGGTAAAGGAAGCAGTATTCTCTTTGGATAGGATAAAAGCTCCGGGTCCAGATGGGTTCACAATGGCCTTTTACCAGGATTGTTGGGATATTTTGGAGAATGATCTTAGTTCAGTTTTTGAGGAGTTCCACAGGAGGGCGTAATAAACCCGGGCTTGAACTCAAATTTCATTGCCTTAGTCCCAAAGAAAAAAGATGCTTCTCAACCTAAGGATTTTAGACCTATTAGTCTGGTGACTAGCTTGTACAAAATCATTGCAAAGGTGCTGTCTCAGGATAAAGAAGGTGCTCCCCTCTATTATTGCACCCAACCAAGGTGCTTTTGTGGCGGGAAGGCTTTTGACTTGGTTGATTGGTCTTTCTTGATGGAGGTGTTAAGGAGTTTTGGTTTTGGTGACAGATGGTGTAAGTGGATCTGGGGTTGTGTTAGGACTTGCCATTATTCTATCCTGCTGAACGGGACTGTGGTTGACTTCTTTCCTGCGTTGAGAGGTCTAAGACAAGGAGATCCTCTTTCCCCTTTTCTTTTCACCCTGATTGTTGATGTGCTTGGGCGATTGATCCATAGAGCAGACTCGAAGAATCTGATAAGAGGGTGGAGAGTAGGAAGGGAAGAGGCTCCCTTAATTCTTCTACAATTTGCAGATGATACTATCCTTTTCTGTGAAGGAGGGAACTTCAATTGGATCCAGAATCTTAAGTTGACAATACAACTTTTTGAGCAGATATCTAACCTCAAGGTAAACTTCGATAAGAGTTGTGTGGCGGGAGTGAATGTAAACGAAAGAGACCTAAGGGATTTTGCAGGTGAGCTAGGTTGTGCAATTACGGACTGGCCCCTGACATATTTGGGCCTCCCTTTAGGAGATAATCCTAAGAGTATTAGCTTTTGGGCTCTGGTAGTGGAGAGGTTTGAGAAGAGGCTAGCGGCCTGGAAGAGAAATTATCTTTCTTTAGGTGGAAGAGTCTCTCTCATTAGGTCTACCCTAGCTAACCTACCTATCTATTATCTGTTAGTGTTTAAGATCCCCTTAAAGGTTTCAAATCTTTTGGAAAAATTAATAAGGAACTTTCTCTGGGAGCCTGGAGAGGAGAAGAGAGATCATAGGGTGAATTGGGAGGTGGTCTCTAGGTGTAAAAAGCTAGGAGGTCTTGGGATTGGTAATTTCAAGAAAAGGAATATGGCTCTACTGGGGAAGTGGTTGTGGAGGTTCTCTTTGGAAAGGGATAAATTGTGGACTAAGATTGTGGCTAGGATTCATGGGCTGGAAGACAATGGCTGGGATCCTGGAATCTTGGCAAGGGCTTCAGCTGCTTCTCCTTGGAAATCCATCCACAATCTGCTTCCAGTTTTCTCCCCTTGGATCAGGTATGGTCTAAATTCTGGTAACTGAATAAATTCCTGGGAACAGCTT